ATGGGACAACAAGACGCGTGAGGAGCTTCACTACTTCTTCACTGAAAAGCACCATAAAAACTATAAATACTCTGAATTCTGCTTTTCTGGGGAACGTATGAATCATCGGCGCTTTGCGTCACCGCTGACACCGCAGACTCACAGAACTGTAATTTTACCCATCTGCCATCTCGTGAGCTCGGGCAATGCATTGTGGGGTTTTTGGGGGGTAAAATTTGTATGTCAGGAATTTTCTGCTTTAAAGCCAAATCCAAGTTTAATATTATAAACCAAAATGCTGCATACAAACGATAAATCGCTGTCATTAACTGACACAATATGTTCATGATAATGGACATGTTACCTTCTTTGGGCGGACGACATGATTCATGTGTTCACACAAACTGAAATGTTGTTTGGTTATTAAAGTCTGATAAAGTTTATCTTTAAGGGGAAATAAAGCACATTTTTAAGATTTCAAATCGTAATACTAAATGTAAAAATATAAAATGTACCAAAAAATGTTTTCTTCATAAAAAAAAATGTAAATATTAATATTGAAATGTGCAAACATCATACAAGTTCTCAGCATAATGTGGAGAGAAACAGAGATAAGAATTTGAATAAATAAATAATATTCATGTTCATTTAGAAAATTAGAAATGGGATTAATGAGCTTTAAAGAAAATGGAAAAAATAAATATACGATTATTGTTCCTGTAACTTTTCTTAATGTTTAGTAGTTTAAAATTCTTCATATATTCTTTGAATTCACATTAAGGCTCCAGTGATTAAGGGTCCATAAAGTGTCTATCTGTGACCCCTCATGAGCTCCGCTGGAGACAACCTGACCCTGAACGCGTTCTCTCTGCAGACCTTGACCTCCATTCAACTTCTCATCCAAATTTAGAGGGTTCTTTCCTTTTTTTCTTTTGCTCCATTTCCATTTTTTTCTGTGTGAACTGCAGCATGAATTAGCGCAGCGAGTCCTGGAGGTTCCGGTGGGGGAAGAGAGAGGTCTCTGTGTGGGAGGGGTTGGTCTTTGTGATCATAACGCTTATTTAAGCAGAACTACGTTTAGTCCGTGACACCAAGACACAAATCAGGTCACACAACAGATGGAAAACAAAACTCTCATCTGAGCTTCGTGTGTTTCTCTGGTTTTAGAAGCTGACTTTAAAGAAACGGATCCCTTTTATATATTTGTGTGTTATTTTTTATGATTCAGTCATTCAAGCAATGAACTAATATCGAATTCCTCTCATCTCATTTTCCATTTAGTGAAGAGAAAAATGGACCATGAAGTCTCAGAATATTAATTCATATCTAAATATTTTTAACGCAGTGGCAGTTCGAATTCTATTTTTTTTAAACTTTAAAATGAAAAATATAAAACCAAAGCTATTTACCACTGCCAGGGCATTAATGTTTTGTCTGGTTTGTTAATGCAAAACAGGTTACATCATAAGAGGAACCTTCCAACAAGCAAGTTAATAATTATAGATCTGTTCAGGATGCTTATACGTGTTCATAAGAAGAAGAACTGGAGGTCCTTAGGACCCAGGGGGGAATCAGGTGAGGGGAACAAATTGAGGGGGAGAAGGGGGGCGGGGGGTAGGTGCCGGCTTAGGCCCGCCCCCAATGCTCTCATTGGCTGAGAAACGTGATGAAGTTGCTCACTGTGACCCGTTGTGAGTCTGTATGTGTATTCAGAGCCAGAACAGACTGTAAAAAGAATACAAAAATACTCTAATCGCATAGATCCCACTGATTGCTTTCTTGCAAGTGTCGCATAAGACGCCATTCATCTCAACATTCATCACCGTTTGTGGGCGAGAAGGTTCAGACCAACAGCATCTTTCTTTTCCTCAAAACCAAACGATGGTGAACGTGCTAGCTCGTTAAACGTTAGCACGTCTCTTCGTCGACTCGGTCGCTGCAGACGCAGAGACAGACAGAGGGAGTCTGATCAGTGTTCCTCTCTCATGATGTTCACGCTGACAGGAAAACCCAACAGTAGAGGAACCCATAGCTAAGCAATGCTAACTCGGTCGCGGATGCAATGCTGAACTCGGTAATTAGTTTGAGCTTGTTGGGATGCACCCCCCTCCACCCGGTGTAATGGAGAAACGTTTCCTTGGGGAAATCAAGGCCAATCTCCATTACTGGTTCGGTGAAATGCAGGCGGTGGGAAGTGGGGGAGGGGACTCATGGGATCCTGGTAATCATGCTAATGATGGTCAGTGAGAGAACAGTGTGGTGCAATGTCAGTTCACTATCGGAATGTGTGTGGAACAACAATCCTATCCGTGTTTTAAAGTAGTCCGACAATTAGAGTAATAAAAGCATGTGCGATGACAACAGGAGAGAGGTGGATAGACGGACAGGTGGAAAAAGTAGGTGAGAGCACTTATTCTTTTAGAAAGTTTGATAGCACTCAGAAAGAAAGACCAGCACATGAGAAGAAGAAGGAGAGCTATTTATATGTGCTCTCCATCTCCTCTTCCTGCTGGTACACAAACGCTGGGCTTTTATTAACTTCAGTTTGACTGCTGTCCTGCACTCGGGAGTCCGTACCGCTGAGTCTGAGGCCGAGGTTCAGGACTCAGACTCAGAGTCGCTATACCTCACAGTCTCATCTTAAGTAGAGACCCGGGGTTGCAGCAGAATGTTGTGGCCCACAGGTCCATGTAGGTCCTGACCCTCTTCTCTTCTCCCTGGTAGGACGAAGGACCAAGATGCCGTCTTTGTTGGAGATCAGATTTAGAGATATAGGGCGAGTAGATCAGGTGGAGCTCTGACTCCTTCACATCGTATCGGAGGTGGTTCAAGATCTGAACCCGGGATGAGAGGATGGAGGGATGGATGAATATTGGATTTCATCAAATGGAGTCGTTGTATCAGACTCTGTAATGCTGTGTATAACTAGCAAATGATGGGTCAAACAAACACAGGACTTTCGCCCAGGAAGCCTCTGTTCATGTTTAAACCAGAAGGAAACAGTTCAGTCTACGCTTGTAACAGTTTAATCCTGTTATGTAGCAAGATGCTAACGCTAAACTCTGAGAGATAATGATCTCATGGAGCTAGTCAGGTTTCTTGTAACGCAGGTTTATTCCCTCATGGCAAATCCTCAGTTGCGCGGAGGATTAACCACAACAAAATAAAATGACAATGATCATAGAGTGGATTTACATTAATTTAACTTTAACTGAAATATAACTATATAAGAAAACTGTATAAAAAATACAAAGGAATATATGACCGAACATATATACAGATTTCTCACACTTAACATACTGTAGCGTACTTGCTACACGTGCTAATACGTGCTAAAACTGCCATTGTTACAGACAATAAAACATATACAAAACATCACTAACTTAATGTTTAAACAAAGACAACTAACATCCAAAATAATAAAGCTAGCCACACTATACATTAATGTTAAAGTAGATGAACTAAACCTTGCCCAGAGACATAAGCACGTTACCTCATGGCAAATCCTCAGTTGCGCAGAGGATTTGTTATGGCTTGTAGGAGCAGGTGGCATAGTTTACCCATTTTAGCAAACCTTTTTAACTAACGTTGGCTCAGGATGATTGTTGTTTATTTACGCTGCATTTTTACACTGCATATTTATGCTGTGTTACGCTACGTTGTTACCCTACGTTGTTACGCTACGTTGTTACGCTACGTTGTTACCCTACGTTGTTACGCTGCGTTGTTACGCTGCGTTGTTACGCTTTGCCCCCGACATCACAAGGACACAGTCAAAAAATGCCCCCATAATTTCCTCTAATAATTTAGTTAACTTAATAATATGTAAATTTCCTACCCTGGTTGTTACGCTACTGTTGCTTTGATTGTGGTATTATTTTTTAAACACAGACTAATACGGAACTAATATTATTGTATTACTGTGTAGAAGAAGAAGACTTGAAACTAGAGACTGAGACCATAAACTCATGTTTACAATCTTTACTGAGGGAATAAATCAAGAGAGAAGTAGAGTCATTTCCTCATAGACGTCTATGGGAGCAGAGGAGTCGCCCCCTGCTGGTCACTACAGAGAAGTAGAGTCATTTCCTCATAGACGTCTATGGGAGCAGAGGAGTCGCCCCCTGCTGGTCACTACAGAGAAGTAGAGTCATTTCCTCATAGACGTCTATGGGAGCAGAGGAGTCGCCCCCTGCTGGTCACTACAGAGAAGTAGAGTCATTTCCTCATAGACGTCTATGGGAGCAGAGGAGTCGCCCCCTGCTGGTCACTACAGAGAAGTAGAGTCATTTCCTCATAGACGTCTATGGGAGCAGAGGAGTCGCCCCCTGCTGGTCACTACAGAGAAGTAGAGTCATTTCCTCATAGACGTCTATGGGAGCAGAGGAGTCGCCCCCTGCTGGTCACTACAGAGAAGTAGAGTCATTTCCTCATAGACGTCTATGGGAGCAGAGGAGTCGCCCCCTGCTGGTCACTACAGAGAAGTAGAGTCATTTCCTCATAGACGTCTATGGGAGCAGAGGAGTCGCCCCCTGCTGGTCACTACAGAGAAGTAGAGTCATTTCCTCATAGACGTCTATGGGAGCAGAGGAGTCGCCCCCTGCTGGTCACTGCACAGAATGAAGCTTTAACACACGAAGTTCTGTTTTACTGTGTAACTCATTCAGCTCATCCAGATGGAAAATATAAAAGATTACTTCAGTTGCTGCCAAACCTACCACCTGCACCCTTTTTTTAGGAGAGGACTCAAAGTCAAAACGTTTCAATTTTTTTGTATTGAAATCATTACGTTTTCAAACTTCGACCTCGGCCCCATCGGAGCTGCCTCCATACAATCTTCAACCAACACGTCAACGAAACAACTTCTGCAAGTCTAGTTTTATTATGAAGGTTTTCTATTTTTAGTGTGGAAGCCCTTTCTCACTGACCGCAGCGCTGAAAAGGCCCCCCGAAGTTATGTAACGGTAATTCTAGTAGATGAATAACACTTCATCTCTCTCTCTCTCTCTCTCCCCCCCCAGTGCCTTTCCGCGAGGCTCCGGCCTACTCCAAGCGCCGCCGGGGTCCGTCTTCTGACAACGAGCGGTCCCCGTCCTCACTGTCGGCGCCGCGGGTCCTCCTGCGCTCCAACAGCGACAACAACCTAACGGTCAGCCAGTACCAGCAGCAGCAGCAGGGCTCCCCCGGCAATTGGGCCCCCCATCTGCAGCAACACGCCCAGCCCCACCCGCACAGGGGCCCCCAGCAGGGTCACTCGCAGCCTGGCTCCTCGGCACTGCATCGCAGCCTGTCCCCCCAGTTGGTCCAGCAGATGCCCAGCGGCAGCCCCAATGGCAACGTGGTGGTGCGGACCATGGGGAGGGGGGCCAGGAGCCGGTCGCCCTCCCTCAGCCGGCTGGGGGAGGAGGCCCGGCGGGCCCTGCCCACTCAGCGCCAGCCCAGGTGAGCCCTGCAGCGCGCTGTTACCCAGCTCTCTTCCTTTTTTTTTTATCCGCACAGCATCCGGGCTGACTCACCGGGAGGTCAGAGGTCGACTCGTGACTCAAATATTTAGCTGTCAATATTTCTGCCGACGAGCTGCAGCACAGCTGTGATCTGGTTGGAGGGGGGGCGGCTGTTTGCTTTGAACACTCAAGATGTCGTTACCATCAGTTCATCACCAGTGTGTCCAGAGAAAGATTGAAAAACGTTGAGTCAGTAATGGAGAACGAATAAGTGATCAATAAGACTGGTTCTTAAACATAAGAAGTCTGCAAAGACCGTCGTGATGTCACGGATGTTTCAAAGGCTTCATCTTGGCATTTTGGTCGTCTCCATGTTGATGTTTTGACCAGCGATGAAAGACGCTGCCGGCGGAGAACCTCCAACATTAATTGGGCTCAAGTTGAAACTTTGTACAAAACACCTCTAGTGTAGTTTTTAGTTCCTGGGACACCCCCCCCCCCCCCCCATCTTGCTGATGGTTGTGGTTGAGTCTTCATTTACTGTATGTACAGTGCACACCCTGTTCTACCCCCCCGCTCCCCATGCTAGATGATGCATGACAGGTCCCCTCTGGGAAACGCGCCACCAGAAAGACTCTCTGGCTTCCCGCAGTCGCTACGGCAACCGTTGCCATGCTGGCCCCACCGACACTCTGCAAAATGCGTGAGAGTTCGCATGTAAGCAGAATGTACGCCTCGAATGCCGACTGCTAACTTTAGCTCACCGTGAGCGCGCGCGCGTGTGTGCGTGTGTGTGTGTGTGTGTGTTATATTTGACCTCCACCTGACGGCGTTCATTCAGAAAAGCATCCACGTGCACACGCGTGTGACGCTGTGAGGGAACGCGGCGGAGGATTAAAATGACGGTTTATCTTGGGAGCGATGTAACATGTCAATCCCGATTAAGACACGCGCTCCCTGGCCTCCTCCTCCTCCTCCTCCTCCTCCTCCTCTTCCTTGGCAGATGGACAGATTTGGAAGCTCTCTCCACACTACCCACACGATGTGGCGCTGCCTCTGTCCAACGTGGAGGAGAGAGGAGCGAGAGGATGTATAATTAAGACGAGATGAAGCGAGGAGGAGGAGAAAGAATAAAAAGCGCTCAGTGAAGAGTTCGGAGCGAGGGTGGAGGGGACGGAGTCGAGCAACGACAAGTGACGGAGGAGACGAAAGAAAGGCCAAAGAGACGGGGGAGGACAGTTGCCTTCGCTTCATCAGTCACATGAACGTCACATGTCTCCTGACATATTTCACTTCTTCTGTCAAACGTCTTGTAGAGGAGTGCAGGAGCGAAACGTGTCTCCAGATTCAATGAATATGGGGAGCTTCACCTCTCTGCATCATTACATCAAAGGACGTAGAGACGTCTCTGGTAGACACCTGTCAATCAGCGTGTAGCCCCGCCCTAAAGTGTCGCTTCTTTATGGTCAGTTTGACTCTACATGGACCATAATTCACTAAATGAACATCATGTTGTGTTGAAGAAGACTTGAAACTAGAGACTGAGACCATGAACTAATAATGTTTACAACGTTAACTGAGGGAATAAATCAAGAGATTTTCTCATAGACGTCTATGGGAGCAGAGGAGTCGCCCCCTGCTGGTCACTGCACAGAATGCAGCTTTAGGATTTGAAGTTTCGACTCAGTGGTTCAGAGTCCTGCTGCCATAAATAAACCCTAGAGCACAAAATGTGGATTCATCCACCGCTGAAAGAGAGTCAATTTGTTTGGATTAAAGCTCAGGAGGTTCTTCATTCATCTTTTTCAGGAGGAATACATTATTTGTGACAGACAGGAAGAGAGACCAGTTGTTGGTTTGGGTTTTTTTACGGGATGTTTTTATTCTAAAAATAAACATATTCTACTCGTGATGTCATCATGCAGCATCTATTAGTATCAGGAGATACTATGTATATGTACTATGTATATGTATACATATGTACATATATGTATATACATATATATATACATATACATATGTATATATGAGCTTGAGTGGAAAGATGGAGGTATTGATGACTTAATGTCCTTGTATTCTATTATACTGTAATCTGGTGAGCTTCCGGTCGTCAGAACTTTTGCAGTTTTTTCACTATTTTTGAGATTATGTTCATACAGATGTCAGTTTAAAAGCCGCCCTTACCAAGTTAATAAAGACGCAGTGTTTGTTCTCTGAGGCGGATCTCGGTGCTTTGTTGCTCTACAGATGATACAGATACAGTTGCTGATACAGATGATTCTAAGATACAGAATGAGTTTTTATATCTACGGTGAAACAAACCACTGAATGAATGCAGTCTCACTCGATATTAATAAACTATTTCATGTGATCAGGGTTCACACGTTATCTGCCCCCCCCCCCCCTCCTCCCCCCTCCTCCCCCTTCGTCTCGGGGTTCATCCTATTACAGCTCAAATGATGCACAGCTGGTATTAATTAACACCGTCTAATTAGCACCTCAAAGCCACCTGGGTAATCACCCCCCCAATAAAATATGGCCGACCGCTACGCTACTCGTGAGCTTGTAGTCCGGATTCCTTCCTTTTTTTTTCACCCGCCCTGAAGTGGCATTGTGGGACATGTCCCTCCCCCGTCGTCATGACAACCGTCCCACAGCAGCTGTCTCTGCTCAGAGACGGTTTTCCTCTGCTGAATGAGGTCGAATCCCTGAAGACCTGATGAGGAGGAGGGGGAGGAGTCTGCAGGACAAGGTGACCCCGCCCCCCCCCCCCCTTTTCTCCCGTCTCTCAAAGTGACCCGAGATCCAAAAGAAGAAGACGTTTAAAAAGCTTTTTAAAGTTCATGTTATCTTTTGATTTAAGCTTATAACTTATTTCTCGACCTGTCCCTCAAACCTTGACCCCCCCATGAGAAGTCCTCCCACACATTCCTGTGTGGCCCCCAACACGTGATCAATGGGAGAGCAGCTGTCCGTCTGCAGGGGAGACAACGGAGCAACATTACGCACATCAACCATCAGGACACAGACCTGGGGGGGGGGGGGGACGGCGTGATCATGTCCTCAGGGTTAATAAGCTAACGCTGCGTGCGGGATCGTCCCTCATAGCACTCTGGGGGTCGTCCCCGATTCAAAGAGTCACATTGGACCTCGTTGTCCCTGAAAGTACAAGTAGGTCAACGCACAACGAGGAGCAGTGTAGCGTCTGTGAACACAACTGTGCTTATCAAATGTACGACGTGGATATCTAAATATAGTGTGTATACATACGCATGGATATGCTGTTTATTTACGGTGTGTACATGTACACAGTACTGTGTACATGTACACGTATGTACGGTCACTGGAGGATGCAGCCGTCGCTCAGTGTGAATGTCCTCTTTTACCCAGAAGCCACTGCGGCTCTGCGGGTCACATGCTGCTCGTATTCTGCCCACTTCCTCCTCCTGCAGGACACGTGTGTGTGTCTCTGTGTGTGTGTCTGTGTGTGTGTGTGTGTGTGTGTCTCTGTGTGTGTGTGTGTGTGTGTGTCTCTGTGTGTGTGTGTGTGTGTGTGTGTGTGTGTGTGTGTGTCTCTGTGTGTGTGTGTGTGTGTGTGTGTCTCTGTGTGTGTGTGTGTGTCTGTGTGTGTGTGTGGTGTGCGTGTGTGTGTGTGTCTGCTGTGTGTGTGTGTCTGTGTGTGTGTGTGTGTGTGTCTGCTGTGTGTGTGTGTGCGTGTGTGTGTGTGTGTGTCTGCTGTGTGTGTGTGTGTGTGTGTGTGTGTGTGTGTCTGCTGTGTGTGTGTGTCTCTGTGTGTGTCTCTGTGTGTGTGTCTCTGTGTGTGTGTGTGTGGGGGGGGTAGGTAGGGTGTGTGTGTGTGTGTGTGTGTGTGTGTGTGTGTGTGTGTGTGTGTGTGTCTCTGTGTGTGTGTGTGTCTCTGTGTGTGTGTCTCTGTGTGTGTGTGTGTGGGGGGGGGGTAGGTAGGGTGTGTGTGTGTGTGTGTGTGTGTGTCTGCAGGCTGAGATCACATGATGTTCTCTATGTTCTTTATATCTGTGACATTTGGTCTTTTTCTATTTAACTGTTTTGTCTCTGGATAAAAGTCCCAGTTACATAATGTGTGATTTTCAGATGAGCCGAGCTGCTCTTCGTGTAGTGGTGACGTTTCACGTTGGCTTCTAATGAGTTCTGCTCCCTGGTTCCTCTGAACTAATGGCGGTGTTGGTCTCTCAGCCCCGGCGGCCCCAGCGGCCCCAGCGAGGGGCGGGGCTCCAGGAGGAAGCTCTACAGCGCCGTGCCCGGCAGACACTTTGTGGTGGTCCGTCCGTACGTCGCTCAGGCCGAGGGGGAGGTCACCCTCTACAAGAGCGACCGGGTCAAAGGTCAGCTCCTTTTGCAAACAAGTACTTCACTTTGGTTACAGATCTGTTTCCTGTTTCCTCGACCGTCACATTTAGAGACGTGTTCATTGCTTTATTTAAAGTCCTGAGGGACTGAGACGGAGACGCCATCCGTCCTCCTCTTTTAACGGATGACAAGAAACAAACCATCGGTTGAATATTCTTGTGACGTAATAACAAACTTCACGCTGTCATCATTTATTATATAACAATTCTCACTATCTCTGTACCCCCCCCCCCCCCCCATCTGCTCTGTGTCCCCCCGGCCCAGTCCTGAGCATCGGAGAGGGGGGGTTCTGGGAGGGCAGCGCCCGCGGCCAGGTGGGCTGGTTTCCAGCCGACTGCGTGGAGGAGGTCCCGGCCAAGGCCACCGAGGAGAGGAGCTGTGAGTCCCATTGCCGGGGGGCCGGGGGGGGGGGGGGGTGCACAGCGATGTACAAGGAAAGGGAGGGCGGGGGGAGAGGGGTGAGGACACTGAACGCTGAGGCACGTGGCCCCCCCCCCCTCCCCCCGCGGCGCACTAAGCTACACGCGCTACATTGCCCTGCTAACTCAGCTGTGCTCTGACGTCCTCTGGGTTCAAGCTAATGAACACATCACCCCCCCTCTCCCCCCCTCCCCCACTCCCCCCCCCCCCCCGAAGCATCACATCCTCCCCCGGCCTCGTTTCTCACACTGTGAGAGGGAGGCGGCTTCTTCAGAGGAGGCCCGTCCTCCTTCCAACGTCTCCCGTCTCCTCCGGTGTTCTGATCTGAGTTAATTATTACCATTACCAGGAGTCGACTCCCCCTCCCTCCCTCCCCCTCCCTTTTTCCTTTTTTGGCTCTCTTTCTCCTTTTTTTTTCCCTTTCCTCTTCTGGGTGCTTAATTTCCCGTCGCCCGGGGCCTCGGGCATGGGGGGGGGGGGCGTTGTTCTCAATGCGCTGCCGCGTCCGAGTCGCCCCCCCGGCGCCGCCTGCACAGACGGCCGGTCAGGAAACGGGAGCACACATGGCGTTGGAAAGGAGGACGATCAAGAGAATTTACTGCAGCTTTATAAATGTTCCCGCTTTGATTGTAACAAACACGATGATGATGATGAAGAGCTACAAGAGCATCAACATCAGGCAACAGGAAGTCGCTGCTCATCCAACAGCTTCCTGTTTGGGTACAAACGCACACGCGTGAACCCCTAACGGGGGGAAACTACCCCTCTGAACCTTTACCGGGGAATATAAAACGTCTCCTCGGGATCTGACTCTGTTCCTGCAAAGATGACGAGCCGGATCAGAGGAGACGGAGCATCTGTGAAAGTGTGACAGCTGGTGTGAGAGAGCGAAGTGTTTAAAATGTACTTGTGCGCTCTGACGTTAACGCAAACGCTGCTCTTAAAGGATTGTTTTTCCTCGCTGACTTCGTGAACATTAGAAGCTAAACAACATGAAGCAGCTCGTCGATGGTCTTTATTCACGCGACACAAACAAACCCACCGTTTGGGTTTTCTCACCTGGTTGAGGAGTCATGAGACTTCATCTATTTCTACGGTCTTAAGGGACACGAATCCTCTGGTTGTTAAAGCTGAAGAAGGACGTGTGACGTTGGGGGAGAACGCGCTCGTATTGGATCGACGTCTCTGCCTCTCATTGATCCGTAAACTGCTGCTGCTGCTCACTAATGGCCCCTGAATATTGATCTCCACGCTGCTGCTCCTTTCAGATTCCCGGGCGGACCGCGCCGACAGACGGAAGCTCTTCAGGCACTACACCGTGGGCTCCTACGACAGCTTCGATGCCTCCAGGTGAGGCCCCGCCCACAGGACAGGACAGGCGCACTGGTCCCACATCCAGACCCCCCCTGCAGCTTCTCATTGGCTGAGTCCAGGAGGCTGCTTGTGGTCTGAATATGAGGTCATGCTCTTCTGCGTATTTAATCAGCTGTTAAATGAAACCTTTCGTCTTTTTGTCCCACGTTCCGTCCAAATGTTTCAACCGTCTTGGCCTCTCGAGTTGTTCTGCTTCTTCACTCAGGGTCACTCAGCACACGCAGGCCGGGACGGAACTTAGATTTTTAATAAAACTTTTTCAGTGTTTTCTAGTAGTTCTCCTAGTTTTCTCTTGCTACTTTGAAGTTGACTGTCCCCTTTTTGGTTTGACTGGTTGTCAACGTTACAGGGACAGAGAACGTGTCCAGTAAGCACATTGTTACACAATCCTTCCAGCTGACGGGCAAAACAGACGCACAACTTACAGAGTAACAGCGAGTCCTCGAGTCCTCGGCAACTAGCAGACCGGCTACAAGCTGATGACGTGACAGCGGGGACGGCCAATCACACGAGCAACCGCACAGCCAATGGAGGAGCTTGTGGGCGGGTCTACACTGAGGGAGACAGGCTTGAGCGGCCGTTTGTCCGCTTGGTCCTAGTGCTTGACGCGTCTCTGTTTACCGTAGCGGAACATTGATTTTGGACGGTGAAAAGCAGCAGGGGACCAAAACGGGCATTTGAAAAAGTGCAGGGGACATGTCCCCTGTGTCCCCCCCCCCCCAAATGATGTCCCTGCACGCAGGCGAATGGACGTTCTGGTAGGAATCCTTTATTTGTTTCTCCAGCAGTAGGTAACGTGCACCCCCACGCTATCGGTACACTTCCTCAATACTCGCAGACAACAACAACAACAACAACATAGAACTCTTCTAACAATCCTGACTAGCCCGCCTCCCCTCCTCTCCCCCAATTACTGCCCCGCCCCTGTCTAGCATTAAACCGCAACTCCCCCTGATTGGCCAGCGTGAGAGAAATGACGTGACACCGTACAGAACGCTACAATGCGTCACATACAAGGAACTGGACTTGGCGGTTGGTGCGTAACAGCAGACAGTGGACAACAAGACAACATAGTGCAGGAGAAATAAGGAATAAAAGCTAAAAGGTAAAAAGTTAAAAATATTTAAAAATTAAAAATAAAGTGCACCAGCGAACAGAAAAGTGACGAGTGAAAGTGACGTGTGTGAGCGGTGGGATGTCAGAGTCAGTCAGTGGGGGTCCGGCTCTGTTGATGAGGTCTTAGTCCTGATGGACCTCAGCCTCCTGCCAGATGGAAGGGGCACAAACAGGTTTTGTCCGGGGTGGGAGGGGTCGGCCACCATCTTTTTAGCTGCTTCAGAGACCTGGAAGCGAACAAGTCCTGCAGGGACGGCAGATTGCAGCCGATCAGCCTCTCTGCAGAGCGGAGGACACGCTGCAGCCTGCCCTTGTCCTTGGCTGTGGCTGCAGCGTACCAGACGGTGATGGAGGAGCAGAGGATGGACTCCATGATGGCCGTGTAGAAGTGCACCATCATCGTCTTTGGCAGGTTGAATTTCTTCAGCTGCCTCAGGAAGAACAACCTCTGCTGAGCCTTCTTGGTGATGGAGCTGATGTTCAGCTCCTACTTGAGGTCCTGGGTGATGATGGAGCCCAGGAAACGGAAGGAGTCCACAATAGTGACGGGGGAGTCACACAGGGTGATGGGGGAGGGTGGGGCTCTGTTCCTCCTGAAATCCACAACCATCTCCACTGTCTTTAGAGCGTTGAGCTGGGACAACTCAACGCTTCATGTCCCATGTTGAAGTGCCCCTGAGCAAGACACCTAACCCCTAACTGCTCCCCGGGCTGAAGTAAAAGCCATGGGTTAAAAATGCAAAGTAAGTCGCTTTGGATAAAAGCGTCGGCTAAATGACCTGTAATGTGATCGAGTGTGGCGCCTTGCAGAGTCGACTACATTTCATCCACAACTAACCCTAACCCTAACCTCCTTCGTATGATATTTTAAGTAAGTTTCCCCTCTTTGGGGAGAAATTGGGAGAAATCCATAAAGGACGGCAACTAGCATCCGTCCCCAGGTTTTAACATCACATCGTGACAGGATGCTAATGTGTACAGTAATTACATGGCTCTACATTGTGTTTGATTCATATTGCATTCACTTCATCTAACATGCTAATTAATAACTACTATCTAACATCACACAAACAATTCTACACTAACTATTTCTACCTATATTATAATTTATACCACTAGGTGTGCTCCTCTACTTAAATCCCTAACATGAAGGACGAGGCAGGGATGTTGTTTCATAATAAAAGTGGCATTCCTGCACATGGCAAAGTTACCCGCCCTCGTCGCCATCTCCTCCGCCGCGGCGTGAGAGCCCGTCCAACCGCCGGGAGCCGGACCTCCCCGAAAAAACCGTGCACACTTCGGGACAGGAGTGTCGGCGGGCGCTACAGGCGGCACAGTCGCACTCTGGCGTCACTTGTCGAACACGTTGACACCTTTGACAAACTGCCGCTCTATCGGAGCCGCCGCCGTGTCAGATTTGGGTTGTTGCGGTGTGAACAGCATCGGCCGCCCACTACTGGACAGTGTGTGTGTGTGTGTGTGTGTGTGTGTGTGTGTGTGTGTGTGTGTAAGGGAATGCTGGGAGATAACCTTCAGTGTGTCAGCAGCGCAGGCCTTCTTCCTCTCTAGACAGATTGCGTTGCTAAGGGAACTGTTGCTAGGATGGCAGTTGCACCCTCTCTCTCTCTCTCTCTCTCTCTCTCTCTCTCTCTCTCTCTCTCTCTCTCTCTCTCTCTCTCTCTCTCCTCTCTCTCCCTCCTGCTCGTATCTGTCTCTCGCCCCGTCCGTTCCGCGTTGAGCTGAATGATGCTCACCTGTCCAGCAGCGACGCCTCCGGGCCGAAGGAGCCGACTTGGCCTTTAAGTTGAGCTCCTCTCCCTTAAGCGTCACAGCTCACCTGACGGCGCCGTCGGTGCAGGAAGCGAGACACGGAACTCGCCAAACAACCCAAACACAAAACAACCACAAAGGAAGCTCCGTGCGCATGTTCTGAGCCGATGGGGAGGAAGACGTCAGATTAGACGGCTTATTGCTGAGTCAAACTTCAAGAGGGGCTTTTCAGTTTTCCTGTAATCCTTCTGCAGAAGCTGCAGCGCCATATGGAGGATTCCTCATACACACAACAACAACAGCAACAGCAACATCCACATCCAGCATCCACAGCTGCTGCTTCCGTTAGTGGAGGCAACGCGAGGCGTGCTGCGGCGTGATACGTGGCGTGTAAAGCTCGCCATGCAGGTGTCACTTCTGTTGCTTAACGAGGGGTTTGGATCACATTGGGACACTTGTTTGTTCCCGAAACCCTTTTGAGATGGAAAACATACAATTAAATAACAATTGTGTATGTAGCCGTGGGGTTAAATTGGTTTATAGGCAAAAATAAATAAACAAATAAACAAGTGAACAAATAAGATAACAATAATCATTTTTAATATCAGTGTGAACTGATAGTGTCAACGTTTGCATAAACCTAGTAAGAGGTGACCGGATGGATTGTGCTCTGTTGTGTGTGACGGGTCGATGTCCTGTTGAGAAGTGAGACACCAGGTTCGTCCACTGTGCCTTATTATAGCGTTTACTGGCCATAGTTCTGGTAATCAGCGGTTTGTTTATTGTTAAAATGTCGTCCAGTAGGCGAAGGTTGGAGATGAAGGGACGAGGCCGTCCAGGGAAACACCCGATGACCCCGGTATTCTTACCCTAAAGTCTTGAAGTGGCGTTCAGCGCCGCGTGGCCTGAATGTAGCTGTCTGTGCTATTTTGAGTGCAGTGTGAACAGATGTGTGACGTGGATCCCAATTTAACCGGTTTCTGCCCGGTGAAACAAATGATGTGATGGATTTCATGCTGTATTAATTGCACATTTACATTACTAGTCATGAAGTAGATATTATTGCTGATTTTAGTCCAAAAGTCAGCATCAGGAGTGATGGATGAGTCAAACTTTGATGCTATGGATGATGTTTTGTCATCCTGTGATATCATTCTACAGATTTGTGAAGTTCATTTTTTTGAGTGTCATGTGTTTATGTGACTGTGACACAATACTTCTAATAATAATAATAATAATTAAAGCAGCGTTGGACGGGTCCTCGCTACTCCCCATCCGGGGCACTGAAGCCAAGACGTGTCCATGTGAACGACGCTTTGTAAACTTTATCATGACACATGAGAAATATCGAGCAGATTAGATAATGTGTGAGATAAAACCACTTCAAATGTCATGGCGAGTTATGGTATTTTGCCAAAGCACCACGCTCACATAGTGTAATATTCTTTCAAGCTTTATGCTATTTTTAAAGGCAAAGGTCACAAGATCCAGCCTGATCTCCAAAACCTGTTGGTAAAAATGTGTACGAAAATCTTGAAGATACAAATTCGTAGTGATACATACGAAATAAATACGGACTGCAACCGATGACGTCGCCCTATTCACAGTGAACGGGGACCTGCGCCCGGTTAACACACTTACCACTACTAACCATGTAAAATAAACGTGTTATGATGCATTTTTAACGAGAAATCAATGTTAACTTGTAAGAATAGAATAATAACCCGACCCCCTCAAAAGACCCAACATGGCGGAGAGACGTTCACTCAAGAATCCGACATGGTCCGCCATGTTGTTCACTCAGGGGGCGTGGTTAACCGCCGCCAGTTCCTCTGTATTGTTACAAATTTCTACGTTCAAGATTTTCGTATCCATTTTTACGAACAGGTTTTGGAGATCACGCTGCCCAAATTTGAGAAGAGTTGGGTGCAATCGGTGGGAGGAGTTCGGTCTTTAGAAACTCTAAAAATTGATGAAAATTGTCAAAAAGGGCAGATTTTCAACGATTAACTGCAGCGCCCCCTATTCTTCCAATGTATAAAAAATGGCTGTATTCAGGGGTCAGATGTTTATAAATGTTACAGGTTTGGGGGCGGGCCATTTCCTTTGTACATGATGTGTCTTGCCAGATTAAGCCACGCCCCTTGCAATGTTCATTATCCCCATATCTTCTCAAAACAATAAGGAATCAACACGCTGCATTTTCATTATGCAGGGGGACATTGAACCAACAACGATCCACACAAAAATTCGTGACAATCGGCCACAGCGTTTAGGAGAAACTGCGTTTTTTCAAAATCCAAAATGGCGGAAAATGTAGTTCGGTGCGTTTGCATTTGACGATTGACTTTCTTGTAGTTCAAGAGCACCTGTGTGCAAAATGTCAAGTCAATCGTTGAAACTGGGAACAAATCTCAGATCCCCAGAGGGACGAGATCAATCAATTAAGTGATCAGTTTGTTAATTGGGTCACACACCCACTCGCCACGTGCCCCGCCCCCTTCCCCCTCCACGCACACATGCACGCCCCCTAACCGCCAGCCAGTCGGTCGCACGTCGCGCAGCGCAGCGCACTCCCTCCCTCGCGTGTCTCCCCCACCAGCCCGAAGAGCTCCAGCCTCCCTCCCCGCCTCATTATGACCCATTAGCCGCTATCGCCAGCAGCCCGATGTCTCCCCTCGCCGAGGCCGCCGCTCCGCCACGCCGCCGCCGCGCGGAGCCTCCGCAGCGGCGGCGGCGGTAGGCGCGCTGCGGCGCCGCGCAGGAGGGTTGTCGCGGCCGCAAAGGAGTTACAGGGAGGGAGGGAGGGGGGGAGGAAGCGAGAGAGAGAGAGAGAGAGAGAGAGAGAGAGAGGCGCGTCCTCCTCATCGTCTGTCCTCTTTTATTTGTACTGTATTCGGAGATGCCGTCGCCGGGCTGCCGGGGCCGCTGTCCTCCCGTTTGATAGACATAGAGGCCGGAGGAGGAGGAGGAGGGGGGAGGAAGGGGAGGAGAGGGGGGGGGGGAGGAAGGGGGCGGCGGCGCTGTGGTGGGGTGGGGTCGGGGTCGCCCTGCCCTGCCCCGGCCGGACTAGCTCTCCTCCAGCAGCATGAACCTGCACTCGGGCAGGGCGTCCGTGGCCATGCTGCGGATGATGGGCTGCGCTAACGGGCGCTCTGCTCGCCATCTCCTCCACAGCGACTGCGTGGTGGACGAGAAGACCGTGGTGCTCCAGAAGAAGGAGAACGAGGGCTTCGGCTTCGTGCTGCGAGGAGCCAAAGGTACGAACGTTCCCCTCGGCTCTGCCTCCACTCGGCTTCACCGTCCTCAGCGCGCGCGCACGCACGCACCGCACGCACACGCGCGCGTCTTCGCTGTCAGACTGTGCGCTTAAGTTTAAAAAAAATACATTTTAAGGCAAAGCAATTTTATTTGTACATTTGCACATTTCAACAACAAGGCAATTAATTAAAAATTAATTGAAAGCAACTTTTCTGTGACCTCTAGAGAACGCGCACGCACACACGCACACACGCACACACACACACACACACACACACACACACACACACACACACACTGTATTCTAGTTCTTTTCCTCGGATGATGGATCAGTTCTTTTGGTCTCCAGAAGACATTTAGTCCTCGCCTCAGAGAGGACAGAAGACAGAGGACGTTGTAAGAAGTATGAGGGTTCTCCGCTCCGCGTCTCTGCACTTCGGGGTCGAGGGGAACATCTGGAGTGTGACATCACTGCTTGGTGGCGTGCACGTTGACCGCGTCGCCCGTCGTCCTGATTGAGGCGCTTTGATGCAGACGGGCTCTGAGAAGAGCTGCGTCGTTTCTATGACGATTCTCACCACGTCATAATCCACGCCGCGTTCACGAGGAAGAGGAAGGAAGAGGAAGAGGAAGGAAGAGGAAGAGGGAGGAAGAGGAGGGAGCAGTGGGGAGGGTGGTGGGGGGGCGATGACATGGAGGAAGAGGAAAATAGCTGAAGGATTTGGCCTGAAAAACAAGAGAAATGTTCTAGTCATTCTGACACACTCTGCTCTCAGCCCGCGGGACCTGACCCAGCCCGAGCTTATCCTCACACACACGCACACGCACACACACGCACACGCATGCACACACACACACACGCACGCACACGCATGCAAACTGGAGCTGTCACATAAGCTCACGTCCCTATTTGCTCTCTGCGTTTCTGCTCCTCGGCCATCTCCATCGCTCTTCTCCCTCGTCTACGTCACAGACACACACACATACTCATAAGAGATCACACACACAACGTTAAGAAACATCGAGTCCTGCAAAATCCT